GTATTCTTCTTATCGAGTTATTGCTAATTCTAGGATTTTAAAATCGTTTCTTGATAAAGGGTTCTGTCAGGCTTTTCGCTAGTATCTTCATGAATTTGAGTCGGGATGTACTTTCATGAACATTCAACAAATAAACAGCACTATTATGAAATAAATGAACCAACAAAAAGGATAATTGAAGGAAAAACAAACAACGATGAAGTGAATAAAGAATATAAAGAAAAAGATAGAAAAGTGAAAAAACAAATAACACAACAAAATGACGAATGGAAAAAAACCTGCTTAAATATTGAAACATACATAGGAGGTTAAATTAATTTCGGAGTAATGAAAAGTACTGAGAGGATTAAAACAAAACTCAAAAGAAAAAATTAAATTTTCAAATTGTGTCTCACTGCTTAGATCTTATAGCTTTCTGAACATTCTTGTGTGAAGGATGCGAAGAAACACCTTAAGCAGATGGCTCATTAAACTTATCAGTTGTGGTCTTTGCGTTTTGTCGCTCTTTGTGATTTAGGGATCATTATAAAGGTTGAATAAAGCCAATCCGTTGGAATGTAGCCGGTGTTATATATGGCATTGAAAATTGTTACCAGCATGTCGATGTTATCATCTTCCAACAGTTTTATGGCTTCCGTAGTAATTCCATCCGGTCCAGGGGCTTTGCCTAGTTTTGCTACTTTTATAGCGTACTCCACCTCGGCCCGAATAATGGGAGGGCCGGATAAATTTTCCGTGGGTAAGTTAGTAGTAGGCAGATTCGGTTTATTATCCGCAAAGAGGGACGAAGCATAGTTTGCCCAGATTTTAGCTAGTTCTTCCTGTGTATGAACGTAGTTTTCTTGATCATTCTTCAGACGAGTGTCATGGTGTTTCTTGTATATACTCGAAATTTCTTTGACCCCTTTATGTAGTCCAAAGCTGTCTCACTTTTCTTGTAGTGATTCCAATTCTTCACATCGTTCTTTCATCCAGCTTTCCTTTGCGTTTTTAATTCTTTCTCTTATCGTAAGTTGGATTTCCTTGTATTCCTGTTGATTATGATGTATTTTGTACTGTCTGCGTTGCTCCATTAGATCAAGTATCTCTTCCGTCATCCACTCGTTTTTGTGATTTCTTTTTATTTTACTTACGACTACTTCGTCAGCCGCGACTATAGCTGTTTTTATTTTCTCACAGATTTCCTCTATGCAATTTCCTTGTATGTTGCTGAAGTTCTCGTTGATGTACTTACTGTATGTAGATCTAAGCTCTTCATCTCTCATTAATTGTCTAGTGTATTTTTTATTAGATGGCTTTTTAACCTTTGCCAATCGAAGCCTTACATTCGCGATTAGGGGGTTGTGATCAGACGAGATGTCCGCACCAGGGTAAGCGGCCACTGTTTTTATACAGTTGCGGAATCTTTGGTTTATCAAGATGTAATCAATATCATATGACCCGGACGATCCCTGGTGCTCGCCATGTATACAATCTTCTTGGTGGGAGTTGATACCACGTATTGGATATGACAAAATCGTAATCATTACAAAATTCAGTTAGTAACTCTCCTCGCTCATTTTTGTTACCCAGACCGAAATCATCGACCGTATTACCACATCTACCTCTACCGACTTTGGCATTAAAATCGCTTATTATGATGTAAATATCGTTTTTCTTTGTGACTTTTAATGCTTTCTTTATGTTTTTATAGAAATCTAAAACTTCAGTTTCCGGTTTATCAGATGTGGGTGCATAGACTTGGATTAGATTTATATTAATAGGTTGACCGGCTAACTTCACTATGATTACTCTGTTTGAAACGGGTATATAATCTATAACAGACATCGCAATTCTATTATCAAGCACTATTGCAACTCCATGCCTGTGGATTACTGGCGTCGCTACCGGAATAGTACACTGTAAAGTTGTCTTTGTGAGAAATACCTGAGTCAGACCACCCAATTCACTTACACCCATTGCTTTCACTTCTAGGCGCCGCATTTCTTTGAAGCGACGCTAGAAGTGAAAGCAAAGGGTGTAAGTGAATTGAATTGATATTTCAGAAAGCTATAAATGGAAAACAGCTCCCAAAGAAATAAAAGGAGGCATATATGACATCTATATTTAAGAAGAGAGATATAAAACGATGCGAAAACTACAGAGGAATAAGCGTAATATCATCAATAGGAATATTATTTGGAAAGATACTGCGAGAAAAGATAGAGCAAGCAGTAAAAGGTAAAATCGGGGAGGATCAGTCAGGCTTCACGCTAGGAAGATCATGCATAGACCACATATACACACTAAAACAATTGTTGGAAAAGAAAATACATAAAAGAGATATACATTTGGCATTTGTGGACCTAAGAAAGTCATATGACTCTGTACCAAGGTCAGAACTATGGGAGGCAATGTACAAATTAGAAATACAGACGGAAATCATAGAAGCTACAAAAGGTCTGTATAAAGAAATAAAGTGTCCATTAAAGTAGAAACAAGAATCATAGAAGTGGAGATTCACCACAAGAAAAGGGCTCCTGCAGGGTTGTTTCACACCTCCAACTCTAGTTGTTTCACACCCGCACTAGTACAGTGTCGTCCGCGTATCGAATATTATTTACAATCTCTCCATTAATTACAATTCCTCCGTTTGCTTTGTAAAAGGGCTTCCTGATAGATGCTTTCACTATATACATTAAATAACAAAGGTGACAAAATGTAACCCTGTCGTACTCCTCTACGTATTTCTATTGCTTGTGATGTTTCAGTTTCTATTTTGATGTTAGCTTTCTGATTCCAATATAGATGGGAATTATTCGCAGATCTTTATTACCTATGTCCTTCCTTTCAAGAATCTCTCTAAGCTTATCATGGCGTACTCTGTCAAACGCTTTTTTCAAAATCGATAAAACACGTATGTACCTCCTGATTAACGTCTAGGCATCTTTGTGTGAGAACATTCAAACAGAAGAGGGCTTCTCGAGCACCAAGCCCTTTTCTGAACCCCATCTGTGTATTACTAATATCTGACTCCAACTTTTGATAAACTCGATTGTGGATGATTTTTAGAAATATCTTTAGTAGGTGGCTCATTAAAAATATTGTTCGATGTTCTGAACATTCTTTAGCATTAGATTTCTTTGGCAGTGTAACGAATGTAGACAACAGCCACTCTTGAGGTATAATACCAGTATTGTATATTGTATTAAATAAGTGCAATATTATACCTATTGATTCATCATTCAAGAGCTTTAGCAATTCGGTAGGAACCCCATCCGGTCCATTTGCCTTCCCAGTTTTGGAATTTTTAAGTGTCCATTTCTACTTCACATTTTAGAATTTCAGGTCCCGTTTCGCCATATATCAGAACAATGTTATTTCTGTTGTCCTCAAATAATTCTCTTATGTATTCACTCCATCTATTAATTTTCTCTATTAAATCTATAATAATCTTTCCATCTTTGTTCTTAAGCAAACTTATTTGACGTCTTCTTTGGGTTCCTGTAATTTCTCTTACTTTTTTATGTATATTGAACGTGTCATACTTTCTTTCATAGTTTTCCATTTCTACACATTGTTCGGTAATCCATGATTCTTTGGTATTTCTTATTCTTTCCTTTATGTTCTTATCAACCTCTTTGTATTTTTCTGCATTATTCTTCATTTTACGTCTTTCATCCATTAGTTCTAGAATGTCTGGTGTCATTCACACCTTATGTTTCTTTGCAGATTTGGTTAGGTGTTTCTTTCTCGTAGTTCTTATTATAGTATTTATATACTTAAGTTTTTCATCTATGTTGTCTGTTCTGCGGATTTGGCTTTCTGCTACACTGAGGCTGGTGTTTATTTCTTCTCGCACTGTTTGTCGTAGATGTTCATTTTTAAGCTGGCTTAAGTCTATTGCTGGAATTATGGCTTTTCTTATTCTCTTTGGTCTAGCTTCTATCACAGATACTACTGGATTATGATCCGAACCGATATCAGCTCCAGGAAGAGTTTTAGTAGATTTTACGGCATTACGGTATCTTTTGACCGTTGACCATTCTGTAGGGTTCATCCGCCTTCGAGATCGATTTCTCGGTCTCAGGACAAAAAAGTGCCCTAACACTTACCAACTCATCCGCCCGAAGCCGTTGGTCAGTAAGTGTGGGATTGCTTATACCGACAATCGCTCGGTGAAATTTTCGCCATATCTGGCTACCCTCACTTAGTTTAGCCTGCAGACCAATGCAGTTGCCCTGATTGTTGTACTGATTGCACAATACCAAGGCAAACTCAGCTACATGATGAAGAAACTACAATAAGAATATACCAAGGCTGGCCTGGATATTAACCTCGCGAAAACAGAGTACGTATCTACAAGTGAAGAAGACATAGAAAATCTACAGATTGATGACAACGTAACAATCAAAAGGAAAGAATAAATTAAAATACTTGGGGTTTTTTAATCACGAAAAAGGCAACAACAGAGGAAGAAATTACACAAAGATTAGGACAAACAAGAACAGAAATCCGACAACTTAACTCAGTATGGTGGGATAGACACCTAAATATGAAGACAAGAAACACAGATTTATAAAACATTAGTGCTAAGTATTATGACATATGGGGATGAAAATTAAATTATAAACAAGAAAAACAGCAGTAAGATAGTAGCAACCGAGATGGAATGCCTACAAAAATGCTGCAGAGTAAGAAGGAACCCCGAAAATCCTGAAGGAACGAACTAGACGACGACGTCATGAGTAAGAGAGAATATCTGAATATACACTGAATAACAATAACTATCGATAGTGACTTGAAAGTACATGAGCGCGCGCAAAAACAAAAGTTACAATAAAAGTTAAAAACAAAGAAAAAGTTACAACAACTTCTAAAATACTAGGAGTCTGCGTAACTCCAGCTCACAGGTTACGGGTTAAAATGTTATTCACACCCTTTATATTTTAATTAAAAAATAAAATTTCACAATAAAATGCCTTTAGAATAGATATTACTGAACATAATGTTATTTTTAGTAATGTTACAACGTTTAGTAGACGTACAAATCGCTTATCCAAAAGTTGCCGCTGTTTGGTTTGGACCTAAACTTTATTTCTTAGTATCAAAACCGGAATATGTGGAAAAAGTATTAATGAATCAGTCAGCTTTAAACAAAGACCATCTCTATAAGTTCCTGAGTAATGTTGTCGGAGAAGGTCTGCTGTCTGGAAGAGGTATGATATTATATTCCCTCGAGCTATACACTTTTTGAAAACATTCGTTTTTAGCTAGAATATGGAAAAAGCATCGCAGAGCTATAATGCCAGCTTTTAATCAAAAAATACTCGACGCTTACCAGGATATATTCTGGAACAAATCAGAAATACTTGTGAATGTGCTTGAAAAAGAAGTTGGAACTAAAAATATAGAGCTATTTCATTTTCTATCTTGCTGCACTTTGGATATAATATGTGGTAAGCATATCTGATTTGTGTTCACATTTTATATTATATTTACTTTTTTATTTATATTTTAGAAACAGCTCTTGGAATAAATATGAATACTCAAACGACTAACGAAACGGAATTTGCGAAAGCTTTAGATAAGTAAGTACTTTTTTAAGTTGCGTTCTAAAATCTTTGTGATCATTGTAAAAAATTGTTGTCCCGTGTTTATACAAAAAACTTAATCCTCTGTTACAATTATTCTTTAGCTTTTCTTTATCTAAAACATTTTAGTTGTCAGTTTTTTGTCTTCAATCTTCAAGCAAGTATTAAAAAAAAGATTTTTTCCAATACATTAATATATATATATATATATATATATAATATATTATATATATATATATATATATATATATATATATATATATTTATTTTTATTGAGCTTAAGTGACTCGACAACTAAGGCCATTGGCACGGTTAAGTTTATTTATTTTTAGAGAATACACAATAGGTATTAAATTTATTAAAAGAATAGTGTCTTTGAAGAACTGAAGTACTTTGGTGAATTCACATGGATAGTTAAAAACATAGATAGAAAATAAAGAAAATGGAAAATAATCAAAAATTAGACATGAAAAAACTAAAACAAGAAAAACAGACGTACGAAGAGAGAATAAAGGAAATATTGCCGACCAAGGAAGATATAGAACACAAATATATCGATGAAATAAACATGATATTTACTGAAACTCTAATGAAAGCGGGAAAGGAAATAGCTTACTATCTGTAACTATCTGTACTATTCTAAACAATATTTGTTATTTTATATTTGTCCTTCTCTACCTTATTGTTGGCATCTTTAATTTTGATGATTTTTTGAACTTCCAGTGCGGGTCTTAGACATTTTAAGCATCTGTTGTTTTCAATGACTCGCTCTATTAAGTTCTCGTTCCATTTTTGTATTGTCGCGTTTTAGTTCTTTTCTAATTGTTTTATTAAGTTCTCTATATTCTTAAGTATGGCGTTTGTTTTGCGCTAGTAGTTGTCTTCTTTCCGTCATTAGCTCTTTAGTTTCATTGCCTATTTTGTCTTCTTTAGTCCTTGTTTTCTTTGCGACCTGTAGTCCTGCTGCGAGAAGGTTTTTTCTTACGTGAAGAATCAGATTCGAACTTATCCGCTAAGATCTCTCGGAATTGCTCTTCATTTGTTCTTAGTTTAAAGGCATCTATCCTCGTTGTTTTTTTAAATCCTTTTTCTCTCTTTTTTCATGTTAATATTTATTTTTGCTCTGACTATACGATGGTCACTGCCCGTTGTTACGTGTTTATTGTTGACGTCTTAAATATTCCTTGTTGTTTGAGAGAAAATAGTCTATTTCATTTTTGGTAGTTCCGTTAGGTGCGACCCATGTCCACTTTCTGTTAGGTTTCTTTTTGTAGAAGGTATTTATAACATACATGTTTTCTTGTATCAGAAATTCCATTGGTTTTTCTCCTCTTGTGTTTCTTGTGATGAATCCAAAGTTTACAATCTTGCTTTCAGATTTTCAATCTTACTTCATTTTGCGTAAAGTCTCCATTATATTTTGGATTCTTGTGTTGTCTATAGCCTTTTTAACGTCTTCGTAAAAAGAATTTATTCCTTCATCGGTTGCTTTTTCAGTTTGGAGCATAAACTGAACGATCTTTATTTTAGTTTTTGGTTTTAGTTTTAAGACCATGTTTGTAACCCTGTCTGATATGCTGTCAATTATTTGAATTTGAGATTTTCTCTTCTTGTTGATTAAGAAACCTACTCCACCGTATGTGTAGTCTTCCCTGCCTTTATAATAGAGTCTGTTGCCTGAATGTAAGTCCACATATCCTTCACCTCTTCTTTTAACTTCTGACAGTCCTATTATGTCCCAATTCAAGTTCCCCAATTCCTCTTCTAGTTCGTAGAGTTTTTCGTCTTTTGCCATGGAGCGGATGTTGTATGTTGCTATATGGAGTTGTTTTTTCTTCTTCTTTTTCAATGTCGACTTGCCCCCCCCCCAGAATCCTCGGGGCAGACCATTGTTACGGTGTGGGACTGTGGAATAGAATTCCTACCCACCTGGGGTACCTTCCGTGTTTCTGTTGCAATCGACATGTTTGGTTTTGGAGGTTTTGGCCATAACCCACCACGCTGGCCAGACGGGTTGGTGGGGTATAAGAATGTATCGTGTCCACCATTGTAACCGAGGTTAGCGGCCTACTCAGTTCAGCCAACACCCCTCGGAAAAGATGGGTCGGCTCATCATTATTAATGGAATTACATTTTTGTTATAGTGTAATTATTATATATTACACTGTACAATATTTCTTATAGTGTAATATATTTCTGCCCATATACCCACATTTGGCATACCATGGTTTTATGGGGAAATCACACTGCAGTCTGCAATATATTGGATCTTTATCTTTAATTTGGGAATGCTATACATTGTAGAATTGTGGTAAAATGTTTTTTTTTTGTAACGCAAAAGATATCTGTACTAACATTTTTTATATCACATGGTACTCTTAATTCTCTCCCAATATTCGCCAACCTATCAGCTACCTCATTATCTTTAATCCCTGATGGCCAGGTGCCCATTCTCTTCCTATTGAGAATCCCATATTATTAGCTTCTACAATAGATTTTTGGTCATTATGGTTACATAATTCATTTGATCCCATTTGAGACTGAAAATTTTAGATAAAGCACTTTTTGAATCCACAAAGATAACTGCTTTCATGATCTCCTTCTCAATGCACACAGCTTTATATATAGCTATCATTTCAGTTGTACAGATTTGTGTGTAATAATGGAGTCTTGATAAAAATTTGTAATTTAATCTGTGGTATATAAATTCCAAATCCAGATTTGTGGGTCGATAGATTCATCTGTATATACATAGGTATGATTACTATATATTCCACCATATTTTGCTAAAAACATTTCGTTAGATTCAATTTAATATTTATTATATTCTGGGCTCTTAATTATAAAATAGGATATAAAAGAATTTTTCTTTCTATTTCATATATGGGATTCATTTTGTATCGAATTATATTTTTTGATTTTTTGAAGTATGTTTGTATATGCTAATGAGTAGTCTGGTATAGCTTTACTCTTCCAAAATTGGTTATTTGCATTTATAGCTTTATTTAACTTGTGTTTAAACTTTTTATTACTATGTTATTTTTTTCAGACTTTTGTTTCAATATATATTTATGAGCCAATATTTCGCTTCTAACTCTTAGTGTGGATACTGAACATTTCGCTTGTAGTATTAAAATTGGTGTAGAACGTAGACAACCTGTTATAATCCTTAAGGCCACATTTTGTACTTGTTCCAACTTCATCGTCAGACAAAGTAGGGAGACAGAAGAGAAATTTGCACAGATGACATAGGACGTATGCTATGATGGAATTAGTCTTTTTGTCAACATATACCAGAATATTTAGTCTACGGGACAGAAAGAGATAAGGCAAATATTAATTCTACGGGACATAAAGAGAAAGAAAAGAAAGACAGAGGGCGCCAACTACTTTTTGAAAAAAAATAGTAAAAATTAAGTCGAAGGCAAAGAAATTAATAAACTAATAAAGGCATTAAAATAAAATAATTATTTAAATATAAATTAATAAAGATGTGACGTTTATAACGTTACAGAATACTTATTTTTAATTTTTGTTTAAATTGAAAAGCAAAAGAGTTAGAAATCGATTGGCTATCAATAGACTTCGGCAAATATGCAAAAAAAAATGTAGAAAATATGCGCATAAATATGCTCGTGTTTACCCGAAAATATGCAAATATTTTACAAAATATGCATACAAATAAATAAAAAAATCCTAAAATAGTAACAATTTTATTTAAAAAAAAAAGTGTACATAACTAAATATTTCCTACTATTCATTAAGATTTACATTTATTTTAAGTAACTACATCATTTTTAAGTATGAATAAACTTATTTAGAATTATGGTAACAATAAATGACCAAGTGGTGTTCAAAATTTTTTAACAAAAACTTGTGGCTTCTGTCTGAGTACATATATTTATATATGGAAAAACTTCGTTCAACATCAACTGATGTAACGGGAGCATTTTTCAAACTAACCAAAACATTTGGTTCTAAATTTGTAACAACTATTTTGCTTACCACAGGGTAAGAATATGGGGGACAAGATTGGGCAAACAAAATAATCGAAACAAGTGCATACGGACACTCAGTTGAAGGCGCCATTTTTGTAACGAAAATATTTTGCCTACCACAGGGGCCATTAATACAAGGGGGTAGAAAATTGGCGGAAGAAACTAAAGGGGTTGAGATAAGGCAAGCAAAATAATCGCTACTTGTGCGAACGGCACTCAGGGTTTCGTAGGAGAGCTGGGGTCGTGGATAAGTAAAAGATAAGGGCATTGGAATGGGGGAACTACAAAAAAAGAAATAAAGGGCTCTTGGGACAAACAAAATAAAAATAAACAAGAAACACCTCAAGGAATTTAATATAGGGCGCCACTTGAGGTGCCTAATTATGCCTATTACAACCACTAGTTGTAACTAGGGAAATAATTAGAAAACAAAATAAAACATAAAAAACATATCTTTTTCAAATAAACTCAAAAAGAGTTACTCAAAAAAAATAAACAAAAAGTTAAGACAACAAAATTTTACCTTTAATTATGTGTACCACAAACAGTTACAAAACAAATGATAATTACAAAAAACAAAATTGAAATCATATAGATCTTTCAATGCAGTTTAGATTAAGGTCAACTTAAAAAAAAACAAATTCAAAACTTATGGTTAGTTATGTGTATAAGAATAATTATTATGACAGTTAGCCAAATCCTAATTTTATAATTTTACTTATTACAAATTTTTCAACTTGTCATGAAAGCAATTATTAATGATAAATGTCTATTTTTCACTTTAAAAAAAAATTTAACAAAAAAAGTACCTGACTTCACTAAATATTAGTTTTGGGGCTGGAACTGGATTTCTAAACACTGCAAAATAACACAAGCGTCTCCAAGCTTCAGAATGGTCTGGAATGACCAGGGACAAACAAATAGACGAAGGAAGTTGAAGTTCGGCTGGATCATCGGGCTTCGGGTAAAAAAAAATTGCAAACTTCTAAGCTTGGCTTT